AAATAAGGGTCTCATGCTTTCTTGGGCTTCCCTGATACTCAGGAAGGAAAAGACATCCCCTTAGATTGCTCTAAAAACATAAACAGCATTGATGTAATACAGGTGTCCCCCCCCCAACAACAGAAAACTCCAGTTAAAGACAAAATGATATCACATGATACCAAGACAATGAACTGTTTTGGGAGTCCCTATATCTTGTAGGGAACACATTGTCATTATGCTGCTAAATATAATGCAGTGTAGCCAAAGCCATATACACTTGGGGAAAAAAAACAAAAACAACCAAAAAAACCCCCAAACAACCAAAAACCAAGACAAAACAACAACAACAACAAAAAAAAAAAAAAAGGCAAAAACCAAAACTACTGTAAAGCAAGAAAATACAGTTGAATGCATGGGATTAACACCAAGAAGCTATCGTACCCATACTAAGGATTACAATGAACAGAGGAGAGTTGACCAATACAGTGTTGTTAAAGAAATAAAAAGGCAGGCAACTGGTATTACAAACCATCATGGCAGTAAGCCACTAAAAAAGCAGTAATTTATAGAAGTTCTGAAGAAAAAGTAGTAAGACACTACCCTGACTCTGCGTAACTACCTAACATTCATATTCATAAAAACATGAATGTTAGGTTTGAGGCCTCACTTGAGTATTGTGTACGGTTCTGGTGTCCTCAATGTTAAAAGGACATGGAACTGGTGGAACAAGTCCAGAAGAGGGCCACGAGGATGATCAGGGGACTGGAGCACCTCCCTTAAGAAGACAGGCTGAGAAAGTTGGGGCTGTTCAGCCTGGAGCAGAAGAGGCCACTTGGAGACCTCATAGCAGCCTTCCAGTATCTGAAGGGGGCCTATAAGGATGCAGGGGAGGGACTCTTCATTAGGGACTGTACTGATAGGCCACGGGGTAACGGGTGAAAACTTAAACAGGGGAAGTTTAGATTGCATATAAGGAGGAAGTTCTTTACTGTAATTGTGATGAGGCACTGGAATGGGTTGCCCAGGGAAGCTGTGAATGCTTCATCCCTGGCAGTATTCAAGGCCAGGTTGGACAGAGCCTTGGGTGACATGGTTTAGTGGGAGGTGCCCCTGCCCATGGCAAGGGGGTTGGACCTAGATGATCTTAAGGTCCTTTCCAACCCTAACTATTCTATGATTCTATGAAAACAATTCCCAATGCCTGGTTTTGCTGGCCTGGATTCAGAAAGAGTTCTTGTAGTCCTATGAAGTCAACTACTTGGAATTACCTGTGAAAGCTTTGACTAAATGATATTACCTGTCTTTGCCTAATATGAAATTACATGATCATGAAATTCAACTGAAAAAAAACCCAATAAAAATATTTTATTAGATATAGGACTGCCTGTTCCCTTTTTTTTTTTTTTAGCCAAGTTTTTTTTGACCTTTGCATATTTTTGGCAAAATTGGTGTCTCAAATACTCTGGATATACTTCTTCAGAAAGAGAGCATTTTGGATTAAGTTAACAAAAAGTATTTTTATCTGTCATAGAAGTATGTAAAATGTCACAAAATGCTACAGTTACAGCACTTTTTCAATTAAACATGTGATTTGCTTTAATTCAAATGATATAATCAAGCCCTGACCTGCACAGCTCAGGTTCCCCTAAAATAGCTGACCAAAACCAGGCAATTAATTAAAAAAGAACAAAGACCCACACCACCAAAACTCGCAAACTTTTTAGGGCCCTTTTCTATTCCTAAGCACATGTGTACAGATGCACTTGCATGACCTACTGAACCATGAAACAGAAGTTCAACAGTCAACAAAAAATTCTTCTGCAAATATTAATGGACTCCAGTTGACTTCTTACAATATCAATCTCAACTCTCTCCAAGAAATCATTATCTATTCAGCACTCTTGAGGGCATTTTCTGTATAGGAATACATGATTAAGAATACAGTTATCAAAACAAGTGCAAAAATTTCACTACACAATATGCTAAAAAAAAAAAAGTAAAAAAAAATGCTTAATACATCATTTTTTTTTCATTTTAGAAGCTCATTAAAATCTGTTAACTCACAGCTTCTACACTATGCTCCATAACTTGACTTTAGTGGAGTGGTATTATATGTAAGTTTTTTGGTTTTAAATAAACAGATCTCTAGAAGTATGTGCTTGCACTTCTGTTTTAATCCTAAAACTGTATTTTTTCTTCTGATTGAAGGGAACATTTTCAAACACCCTAAAGTCTTTTCACATGACCAAACAAACAGAATCTCTTGAAAATCCTTCTCAGTTTATACAATGAAACAGGTCAGATACCAATAGTTTAGATACTTGAATTTAAATAACCCGTACATCACAGACTTAATCAGAAATTGGGTTAAACTACCTCAATCAAGCACACAGGTTGGGCTGGAACCTCAAGTGCTTTGCTGAAGCAAGTCTTATGCATTAGAGATAGCCTGAGAAATTAAATTATAGAAGACAAAAAAAATATTGTACATACCCTGATGCTCACTGGAAGGGCTGTTGGGATTATTCACTCAAAACATTTGTCAACTTCATTATTTATGCACAATTATCTTATTTGCATAATAAAAAAAATATACAGCAACCTGACGATGAAGTTTACAATTGTTGTTCACTATTTGGTCTAAGAGTTTTCTTCCTAAAGCAATTTAACAGACACCAGTCACTGGAGCATTACAGTTTCATTTGGCCAGAGAGACATTATCTAATTAACATGGAAGTGTTAGGTAAAATACTGATTCATTTAGGTATTAAAATTAAGTTTGTGTTACAAAATTAAATGACAGTGAAGCAAGCTAAAACAAATAAATGTTAATAAGCCCAAGTCTATTTTCACAGTATTAATATGTCTTAGCTTCATGCACACAAAAAACTGAGTTCATTCCAAATGAAATTGTTAGTTATGTTTCTGTTACGGTTTTATATCTATGGAAACAGTAAATCATCAACTGAACTTCACTACTCAAGCATTTAGAGACAAGGGTGGGGAGGGAAGAGAGACTTTTACACTAAAAAGAACTCAAACAGAAAGTAGCCCTGAAAAGCAGACAGAAGTTCATGTGCCAAAAACACAGTAAAAGCAGCCATTGAAGACAGTGCAGTCTTCTCCCCAGTTATTGTTCTGTCAACCAGCAGCATTCCTTCAAGCTCATTTCACAAACTTCTTCTTCACTTCTATTATTTCACATCTGTTTTCCCCATTATGTTAACTGACTGTTGTAAAGAATGTGGGGCTGCTTTAAGTCTTTGATATCAACTCTGTTTACTGTTACTTCCCATTCTGTCAATTTTTCATATAAAGCATTTTATTACATTCAATATAGTGCAACTTAAGCACTAAAATAAAAACAGTGGGAAAAGTAAAGATGATGTAAGAAATTTTGTAGTCGTAGACTTCTATACAACACCATTGTTAAATCAGACAAGTCTGATGGGCAGTTGTAAAATGTATAACGGCTAGGACTTCCTCTCTCCGTGCAGGAAAAGTACAGTGCTGCCAACGGGTATACTGCTGAGGTAGCCTCTTAAATGCCTAGAAATACACGCCTCCAGTCAGTCAACAGCTAATGAAGAGCTGTGCAAAGGAACTGAACTAAAAGGATGGCTGTAATAGGAACTTGACAGGGGGAAGCTGCAAAGACGCACCACTTGGACAAGGGCATCACAACAGTGACCAGAGACAAATGCGGAACAGGAATCGTATGTTCAAGCAGCAACTTATAGAGAGTCACTGTATTTCAGGAGGGGAAAAAAAGAAAAAAAAAACAAACCTCTAAAAAAGAAAAAGGCAAGGGGTCTTCAGCTAATGAGCACTGAAGCAGTAATTTTGTGCAAGTACAGTCCTGAGATGCAAAAGTTCCCTCATGCAGTCTACATACACCTGGATACATACGTACAACAGTGAAACATAAAAATTCTTAGTACTTCATTACTTCAACCTAGGCTTTTCAGATGTGTCTTTAATACCAGAATATACATTTAGGTGGGCATAATCTAACTAAAAGGAGGCAAACGTACTTGCCAAACCTACTCAGACCTCAGACCAACTCCACAAGCATTTCCCTGAGGAAGAAAAGCTATAAAAGAACCTTTGAGGTTCTTTAATTTGAGGTATTAACAAATTAAGTATGTTGCATCTTGGGTAGGACTGAGTACTAATATAAACTTGTATAATTTTGGAAAACCATTACGAAAACCTTTAAGCATCATGTACAAGCAGGGCTGCACCCAGGTGCATTTGCAAGTTTTGGATATAGGACTGAATCCAAGCCTAAAAGACAGCAAAACATTTGGGCTTTCTCAAGTTTAAAAGGCACAACCTGAATACCTATTTATCTGCTGAGTGCATTTGTGTGTGTGATACAAAGCCACAAGGCCTGCATTTCTACTGAGAACTGACTTATCTGCAGTTTTGCTCTGATGTACTGCTTAGAAATTGATACCAGGCAGCCTGACTAACTGCCTGGTGTGGCTACATTTCTTCACATACTTTAGCATCCATAAGGTTTAATCATAAAACATGAGGATGGTTTATAAGCAAATTGAAGTTATTAGGAGGTTTATGATGCTGTAAATTACACCTGCCCTTAAGGGCTGTACTGATTTAATTTCTCAACCACTATGATAATCCCATTTCTTAAATAAAACACCTGCATGCACATACCTAGCCTCAGCCAACAGCCAAGATCCGTACTGTTCCAGTGCAGAATACCAATAAATTATGTTCCATTGATACCTGTCAAAAGCTTAAAATGTAAACAAAGATGCATAATTATTGAAGTTGTTAAGTCTAAATGATCATATTGAAGTGTCCATTACAACAGGACTTCTGAATAGAAAGTAAGGCCTGCGAACACTTTTCCATGATCCTACAATGAGAGTTCTGCTTGTAGTTACAACTTCAAGTACATGCACATCTGGAAGAAATGCCATAATATTTCAAGTGTGTTTTTAAATGCCCATTAAAATGGCTATAAAATACAATATTATTTCCTCCCACAGATTGAAAAAGCTTCTTGAACAAGAAACAGCGTATCAGGCAAAAAGAGAGAAGGAAGACAAGAAGAAAATAGCTAAACTGAAAGAAGAACTTACTAAATTGAAATCCTTTACTTTAATGGTGGTGAATGAACAGCAAAGACTCACTGAGCAGTTGAATCAACAAAGCCAAAAAATTCAAGAATTAACCACTTCTGCAGAAGAAGCACATGAGAAGCTGTCATTTGCTGAAGCAAAAGTTCAAGAAGAAGAACAAAGAGCCAGTAGGCTGAAGGCTGAACTTCAAGCCCAAGGTAGTAAGATTTCCCAAGACCAAGAAGCAATGATGGCCAAACTAACCAATGAAGACAGTCAGAATCGTCAGCTGCGGTTAAAACTAACTGCTCTCAGCCAACAAATTGATGATCTGGAAGAGACCAATAAATCTTTACGAAAAGCAGAAGAAGAACTGCAAGACCTAAGGGATAAGATAAATAAGGGGGAGTATGGGAACTCCATGCTTATGACTGAAATAGAAGAACTATGGAAACGACTGCTGGAGATGGAAGGAAAAGATGAAGAGCTCATAAAAATGGAAGATCTGTGCAGAGAACTCAATAGAAAGTTAGAAAAAGAAGCATCACAGAGCAAGAACCTTAAAGGGGAAGTTGACAAACTTAATAAAAGAATTATGGAGCTGGAGAAATTAGAAGATGCTTTCAACAAGAATAAACAGGAATGTTACTCCCTGAAATGCAACCTAGAGAGAGAAAAGATGTTAACAAAGCAGCTGTCCCATGAGCTGGATGGCTTAAAAGCTAGAGTTGGTGAGCTTGAAGCAATTGAAAGTAAGTTAGAAAAAACGGAGTTTACACTTAAAGAAGATTTAACAAAGCTGAAGAGTCTAACAGTGATGCTTGTGGATGAAAGAAGAACTATGGGTGAAAAAATAAAGCAAACAGAAGAAAAGCTGCAAGCCACAACTTCTCAGCTTCAGGTGGAACAAAATAAAGTGATGTCAGTTACAGAAAAACTAATTGAGGAAAGTAAAAAAGCACTGAAATCAAAATCTGATGCAGAGGAAAAAGTGTCCAGTGTTATAAAAGAAAGAGATGAACTGAAAAATAAACTGAAAGCTGAAGAGGAGAAAGGAAGTGATCTTGTTTCTAAAGTGAATATTCTAAGAAAAAGACTTCAGTCATTTGAAGGTGTTGAAAAAGAACTTAAAAATAAACACAAGGAGAGTACCAAATCCAGCACCTCCTTGCAGCAGGAAAACAACAAAATCAAAGAGCTTTCTCAAGAAGTTGAGAGGCTTAAGCAAAAGCTTCAAGAAATGAAGGCCATAGAAGATGATCTTATGAAAACTGAAGATGAATTTGAATCTCTTGAACGAAGATACGTCAACGAACGGGACAGAGCCAAGCTCCTATCAGAAGAGTTGGAGGCTGTGAAAATGGAAATGGCTAGATATAAATTAACAGAAAAGGCAGAGTGCAATCAAGAGCAGCACCTTTTTAAGAAGCTCAAAGAGGAGGAAGCTAAATCAAGTCATCTTTCCAGAGAAGTAGATGCACTGAAAGAAAAAATACATGAATATATGGCAACAGAAGACCTAATCTGTCACCTCCAAGGTGATCATACAGTCTTACAGAAGAAACTCCTCCAGCAAGAAAGCAAGAACAGGGAGTTAGCAAGAGAAACTGAAAGCCTCACAGAAGAATTGGAGAGGTACAGACGCTTCAGCAACAACTTCAGGCCCAGTCTCAATGGAAGGAGAATTTCAGACTTGCAACTTTTTTCTAAGGAAGTTCAGACAGATCCAGCACACAATGAACCACCTGATTACAAAACCCTCATGCCTTTAGAGAGAACAGTCATAAATGGGCAGCTGCAAGAAGATGACAATAATGAGGATAAAGACAACAATGAGGAAGAACAAACAGTGTCTTTCAAAAGCAACTCATCCATTGCAAATGCCGTGAATAAAAAATTATGGATACCTTGGATGAAGCCCAAAGAGAGTCATCCTCAAAATGGAAAGATTCATACAAAACAAAATGGAAACTGTGCACAGTCTGGAGACCTAGTGCTAAGCCATACACCAGGCCAACCTCTTCATATAAAGGTAACTCCAGATCATGGACAGAACACAGCAACACTTGAAATAACTAGTCCTACTACTGAAAGTCCTCACTCCTACACAAGCACAGCAGTTATACCCAACTGTGGCACTCCAAAGAAAAGAATAACCATTATTCAAAACGCCTCCTTAACACCTGTAAAATCAAAAGCAGCAGAAGATTACATGAACCCAGAGCAAGTAATTTCTCCTATTACTATGGCTACTTTTGCAACATCTCAAACTCCTGAATCATGTGGTTCTTTAACTCCTGAAAGAACAATGTCTCCTTTGGCTTTACCAAGTTTAAGTTCTCAGGAACAAATACTCTCCTCGGAGCCTTTGGAAATGGGAGCCAAGCACACCATTCTTAGAGTATCCCCAGACAGGCAGTCATCATGGCAGTTTCAGAGATCTAACAGTACAGGATCAAGTGTAATAACTACTGAGGATAACAAAATCCACATCCATTTAGGAAGTCCTTACATCCAAGCTCTCACCAATTCCAAGCCTATCAGCCCTTGTGATCCAGTGCAAGACAACAGAACTCCAGCACTAGCTAATGGCCTACCCAATAAGTCCACCAATAAAATCACCAGCAGTATTACTATCACACCAACAGCCACTCCTCTCCCACGGCAATCACAAATTACAGTAAGTAATGTCTATAACTGACCCCCATCCATGCTGACACCCCTACCAGCAGCCCATCTTGTTTTTCATCCCAGCAAGAATTATTTGGAACAGCCTCTTTACTTTGGGAGAGATCCGTGCATGAACTATACAACAGTACATGGAACTAACATTAAGTTTTGCCTGCTTAGTGTTACCAAGTGTGCACTTACTGTATATCTTCTCATTGAAATACAGTTATGTAAAATATTTAGTCTTGCACTTGTATAAATGCATCTTCATGTATTTCCATTTTCAAAATTACTCACATTACTTTTAACTGCAACTTACCTCGGTTAAGTATTTTAACATTACAAAAACAGTAAATAATTGGTTGCTTTTATCATTGTTTGCAGAATATTTTTGTTTGTTATATGTGGTGTTGTGGGGGTTTTTTTGCATGTATGGTAGAATTTTAATTAAGCCATAATTTTGCCTGCTAACTTCAGATAAGAAGTTATTTTCCCTGTAATTTCCTAACTCCTTCTAGCCTTCTCATTTCAGATAATTATCAGTACATCACACACTCAAAATATTAAGTATTGTACCTTATTATGAATTTATGATGCATATACAATATGTTCCAGAGCACAACCATCACTTCTTCTCCCCATCTTTTTCTACACTGTTCAGTTAAAACTCTTTTCAAAATTTCTTGCAAAACTTTCTTGTAAGTGAACCAAGTTCAGAAGCTTATATCACAAAATTATTCTTCCCGAACAAGGCAGTTTTTTCCAATACAACAGAAAACCTGCTATCACCTAGGTACACTGTAAAACAATAAACAGCAACACTTACATTGCTAAATGATAACTCAGAAGAATGTATTTACACATAATCCTCAATTTTTATCCAAGCTCCCAGCCATCAGTTTAACATACAATACAATCACACAGGTACCCTGAAGAAGAAACAAGATTAGCAAACTATGGCATATCTTCACGCTTTTCAAATAACAGGCAGAGAAAGTTTGGCAGAAGTGCTAAGAAGTAATACTAAACCAACTCTCCAAACATACAGGCTTCTAGGACTAAGGTGAATAGGAGTACCATTCAGAATGAACAAAACACGTTAAGATATTTTAATGATGAAGTATTAGTGCCTTAAGAAAAGGACAGAAATGTAAGTAATTCCACCCTTTACACATGTGCCAAGCAGCCAATTTCGGCCTCACTGAAAATACTGCTAATAGTGGAACAACTTCATGCCGAATGTGAATCAGCTCACAAGACCTGGAATGCACTTTAAATGTCTTTCTCAAAAGCTGTAAACTGCAAATGTAAATTGGAAAGGTTGCTCCTTATTCTGAAAAGTTAAATGCCTATGTAACTTATGCTGGGAAGAGGGGACAGGAGATACCTTTTATAACAGATGCTGGGAGGAGGGGACAGGAGATACCTTTTAGAACAGTTCAACCTCCTTACCAACAAGGAAGTCTGCAAGTAAGCAGAAAGTCCCTAACTCACTAAACCTTTATCACTCTGATGCTTACATTATCTAGAAAAAAAAAATAATTCTGCAGTACAACTTAGCAACTGATTCAGCAAAGGACTCTGGCACACACATTCACATAACAAGGGGACTTTACAAGTCCTTTTGATGGATAGGAATCTAAATTATTACAACTGTATGTAATAACTGATCTTAGAAGAAATGGCTTCTATTGGAAAACAAAGCCCACTACCCATACACACTTCAGTCAAATTAACAATGGGGGGCAGAAATTTGTAGAAATCTATGGCAGAAATGGACATAACAAATGTATTACAGTTAAGCAGTAGCAATTTAAAAAAAAAACAAACACAAAAAGTGGATCTGCACAAGCCTAGCTTAACGTCATGCATAACCTGAGACAGCATCTCCTGAAGCTACCGGGCTTCATAAGAGGTCTTTCCTATCTGTTTTGGCCTGCTTTATTTCCAATGAAACGATTGCAGAATTGAGATCTGACTAAGGTCTGGGTGAGAAGTACCTAGTGCTATCCTGCAGTGCAAAGTTTGGCTCCCACCAGCTTCAGCAAAAGTCACTGATCAAGACAGCTGCCACCACTCAAGCAAGTCAAGATTATAATCATTTTTAAAGTGTGTTAATTATACAAACAAAATATTTAACTACATTTAAGTTACACATTCTTAACAGCAGAACTCATTCAAAATAAAAAAAGCAGTCCATTCAAAACGTTCTCTGCACTCCTAGAATGTGGTATACTGCATATCCTGTTGATCCATAGCCAAGGTCTCTGCAGGGACACATTGCAAGCATGGTACTGAATAACTGTGTATGAAATATGCAATTGTCAGTGTACTAACAGACACCAGATCCTCCAAAAATTAAGGGATTAAGACTTGTCCTTCAGGAGCACTAATACTTTCTTCAGTAGGCCTTAAAAATCCTGTAAAAAAAAGAAAAAGAAAAAAAAACCAAAACAAAACACACTTCATACCTGTGGTTCAAAATACACAGAAATGTGTTGATCATTAACCACTTGGCCATCTATTACAATGTCTTATAAAAGAAAAGCACAAATGAGGACACTTAGTCATTTGGACAGCTACCAAGCTATCTGAACAAGGATATTCAGAGTTTAAAGCTAAGTTTTGAATACAAAACCTAGGTGAGAGTTCACACCACTAAGAAGTTTAATTATTAAACAGGACAGTACTTCTGTTGCTCTCTTAATTCTTACACTCATGATGGTTTACCAGTAACGGTTCAATTAACAAAAGACAAAGGAAGCAGCCACTCATTACAATTAACTCAGTAAGAAGCATCACAGGTGCTTGTAAATGAACTTGCTATTTCCTAAAAAACCTTAAGGGATGGTTACATTGCCCTCCTGATGAAACAATTCGTGTGTAGAACTTAACTGACTTCACAGTGCAATTTTAGTCATTAATTTCAAAAGATTAAAATTCAAATAATTACTTTGCCTGAAAATGAGGTCTGCAGAATAAAACAGGTCCACCCTATTTCAATTCCAAGATTTATTTCAAAGCACAAAGCAGAGAGAAACACCTGAATATATTAGTTGAGCGCATAAACTTAACTGCTAAAACAGAAAAGTTAGCTGTAATCTTATAATAAAATAACAAATAGGAAACATACCTTAAGGACTCAAATTACCAATTTACAAATTAACCTCAAGTGTTCATACCATTGCTCCTTATTTCAGATTATTTCCATTTTGCTGACTGGAAATATTCACCTACTTCCTTGGCAGACAAAGAGCAAACAGCAGAGCAAGCGAAAATTAAATTAATTGTCTGCAAATTGATTTAAACACTCTGGGGAAAAAAACAAACAAACAAACAAACAAAAAAAAAAAAAAACCAAAACTACCCCACAAAAAAACCCTCAAATCCAAGAAAAAAAAAAAATCAAGTATAATCATATAAGAATTAAAAAAACAAAACTACCCCACAAAAAAAACCTCAAATCAAAAAAAAAAAATAAAAAAATCAAGCATAATCATATAAGAATTCAACCAAATAAGGCAGGGTTTTTAGGAATTTCAAGCATTCCATAAATGGTAAGTATTGCAGTTAATTTGGAGGCCAAGATACTTGTTTTCAGCATTTGACCAAAAGCCAAAAATCTGACAATATGTAATGAACCACTTAAAAGTTAAAGGGAAATACAGTCACAAAGCAAACAGCATATATCAGAGGGATTAAACTGTGAGAGCGCAAAACCAGCTTTCAGCAGATCATAATGTCAACCCTTCTCTTTCCCAAAACTCTTAGCAACCATGTCCTTTGAAGTCTAAAAGCTGCCTTTTAGAAAGGGAGAAGTAACTGATAAAAAATGGCAGTAGTTATCAACTTCCCTTCACCTTTTCAGTTTTATTTCAGTGAGTGAGCAAGGGCAGCTCAAACAGTTCAATGATCAGCATTTTTTAAGTCATTCTTCTACTGTAATTAAATATTTCAAAAGAAATGTTTCTGATTTTTGTCCTTATAGGGAGGATGGATGAGGAGAGGGTAGGAAAAGGAGGTTTTTTTTGTTTTTTTTTTTAAAAAAAAGCCGTACATATATTCTGAGAGCAAAGAGCCCATTCTTCAACTTACAGGTAGTATTCCAAGTTACTTAAAAACCTCCCTCGGGTAGCTAATTAAGAAATGGAACTGACAAAACTACAGAAGCAGCCAGATAATCTTCGTGATCCAAAGCACAGCAGATAATAGGGTGTCTGGGGACAAAATGTAAAACTTAATAAAAAAAAAGATCTGCATGTAAACATCTCATGTGAGGCTTAAGGAGTTGTGCTCCCCACACTGGGAAAAAAAAAAATCAGAAACAGAGTTGCACAGCACTAATTTTTTATTAAAATCAAATGGATGCTGCAGGGTTAGGTGATGGTGTAACCATCTGCAGGATGACTTTGTCGCTAGAAAACAGATCTTGAGACAGGCAAAACAAAAACGGACAACTGCCTCATCTCCAGGCTTAAGCAAAGACTACTAAAACGCTACCAAGAAACACTAGAGAAAAAGATGTTATGGTTCAAGTACAGCACAAGTGGGTGTATAAAGACATTTTAAAATTAACACCAAGTACTGTAAGCAGGAAACTACTTGGAAAAAAGACTAACCTCGAAAATTTTAGAAGCATAAAGCGTTTTCACAAACCTCCAGTCAGTGGTCCCAAGTTGTCACTGAAGTCTCTCTGCTACCATGTGTCATGGTTTAACCCCAACCAGACAGCTTGTTCACCCACCTCCCACCCCCCCCTTTTTGCCTTCCCCCTGCTCCTGGAGGGACAGAGAGGAGAATCAGAAAGAATGCAACTCCCACGGGTTGAGATAAGAACAGTTTAGTAACTAAGGTATAACACAAATCACTACTGCTACCACCAATAATAATGATGATAAAGGAAATAACAAGGGAAGAGAATACAACACCTCATGATCAGGCGACCGATAACTCGCCCCCCCAGCCCGACCAAGCACCGACCGATACCTCCTCCAACCCTGCAGTCCACCT